GGTGTTCAGACCCTCATCATTAAGTGTTTGCTGTTTTAACACAGCTAACATTACTTTCCGAACGGTTCTTCTGCACCGTTCCCACACTCCACCATGGTGTGATCCCATAGGTGGGTTGAATGTCCATTTGATATTTCTTTGCAAAAGAAATTCGTGAATTTGGGATTGATTCCAATCATTTATAGCCTTTTTCAGCTCTTTCTCTCCCTTTACAAAGTTTCCTCCGTTGTCTGATCTCATCTCTTCCGGTTGCCCTCTTCTAGCAATGAATCTCCTTAAGGCGTTTAAGAAAGATTCTGTATCCAAGAAGTTAGAAACTTTGATGTGCACTGCTCGTACAGTCAGACACGTAAAGAGGACACCATATCTTTTCACGGTCGATCTGCCTCTTCGAACCTCAAACGGTCCAAAGCAATCAACGCCAACAAATGAAAATGGTGGCTGTAATGGTGTTACCCTGTCTTCTGGAAGCTGTGCCATTTCTGTTTTGCTACAAGTGACTGCCGTCTCCTACAACTGAAACATTCATTCAAGACTGTTCGCACTGTAGTTCGTCCTTGCACAGGCCAAAACTTCTGTCTAAGTAGCGATAGCGTATATTCAAGACCAGAGTGTCCAGACAGATGATGGTAATACTGGATAATCAATTTCGCCACGTGGTGATTTTTTGGCAAAATGATTTGATGTTTCGTGTCAATGGCAATTGGTGCGTTATGAAGACGCCCTCCTACACGTACAATTCCTTCCACTAAAATAGGATCCAGTTTGTATATACAGCTAGTCTTTTTTCTCAATGCGACTTGATCGTTTCCAAAGCATTGCCGCTGTATGTGTTTTACAATAGCGGATTCCGCACCATTGATCTCCAGTACAGTTATTGGAGTGACCGTCTTCTCGGACAGCAGAGGCATTCCGCTCTTGCTCCTTCGAACTGCTTTTCTAAGCTTTGACTTGTAACGTAAAAGCCATGCAATGGTTTTTCTCAATGAGTTCCAACTTGAGTGATGATCTATGACCTTTGAAATTGAGTCTTGGGCAATGACATTGTTAACACAGACGGTGGAATTTGACTTCACTTCTGGGTCATTGTTTGGTATTTGACCCAGGTCTATCGGTCTCTGAGGCCATTCATTTTCGGATTTCATTAGAAAGTCCGGCCCCTGTTTCCATCGACGATTACTTAAAAGTTCACTACCTGTCATACCTCTTGATGCCTCGTCTGCTGGGTTCAGTGATCCGTCAACGAATCTCCATTGACTTGCTTCACTTTCGTCGAGTATGGTTGAAATTCGATTTGCTACAAAGGTTTGAAATCTTGTTTCCTTATTTTCTAGATAGCGTAGAACGCATGTGCTATCAGTCCAATACGTGGAGCTGTCGATAGGCATCATTAGTTCTTGTTTTGTATTGATGCTCTTACTTCGTCATGACCGGAAGGAAACTGTTTGAAATAGCATATACCTGTCTCTTATACACATCTAGATGTGTATAAGAGACAGGCATACATCTCCATGTACATTCAACTGGCGTAGATAGGAAACAGCACCGTATCCATGACTTGATGCATCTGAAAAGTGGTGTAGTTCTCGTTTGACTACGTTTCCAAAGTTAGAGGGCTTGAGACATCTTGGAATAGTGAACTGCTCAAGTTCAGGAAGGTCCTTGAGCCAATCCTCCCGTTTTATTTTAATTGCATCTGGAACCTTATCGTCCCATCCTAGATCGTGTCGGCACAGTTCTTGCTGAATGGCTTTTGCTGGTAAGATGCATGGACTAACAAATCCTAATGGATCATATACAGAGCTGGTTATGGATAGCATCCCACGTCTTGTTGCTGGGCGGTCCTTTTCGATGATCCGAAACCCAAAGGTATCTGATGACAAATTCCATCTTACGCCCAAAGCTCTCTCAGTCAACATTTTATCATCGAAGTCCAAGTCTAAGTCTTTAACTGACGATGCCCTTTTTTCCTCCGGGACTGATTCAACGATGTTCATTGAGTTAGACGTCCACTTTGTCAAATGTAATCAACCTTTGTACAGTAATTCTTGAAGTTGTTTTTGCTTCTGACTCTGTCTTTACAGAATGAAGACAATCATCAACATAGAAGCTTTCTTTCGCTGTTTTGATAGTTTCTGCATCGAAGTCATGCTTGTTATCTTCCGAAGTACGTTTGAGCGCATAGTTCGCGCAGCAAGGAGATGATGCACCTCCGAATAAATAGACCAGCATCTTGTATTCTTCAGGCTGTTTTCTGGTATCGCCGTTTGGCCACCAAAGGTACTTAAGATAATTAGAGTCGTCAGGTCTCACTCGGACCTGGTAAAACATGGACTCTATATCTGCCATAAAGGCAAATTTTTCACGCCGGAACCGTGTTAGTACTCCCACAAGCGTGTTCGTGAGCCCCTGTAGCAGTTGGTCATTTAAAGATGTGCCGCAATATTTGGACGAACAGTCAAACACCACCCTGACTTTATCGGGTTTTTGTGGATGGAACACGGAGTGGTGTGGTAAATACCACACTTCTGATGCTGATTCTTCCTGTTCGACTCTTTTGGCATAACCCTTAATCACCAAATCTCTCATAAAAGCCTGGTACTTCTTATGTACGATTGGTTCTTGGCAGTGCAATCTGATAGTGGCCATTCTTGATTACAACACTTTCTTCCATTATTTGCAATGCTCGTTTGTCGTTTTGGGACATTGCAGGGTTTGGTTCATATAAACTGTCATTGAATTCTAAATTACAGTAGGTTGTATATTGTGTTGTCAGTTGCTCGTTGGAATCGATGTAGTTGGCAAAGTGTGTCGGTTCAGAATTCTTTCTACCCAATGGGCCATTGACAACCCAACCAAGTTTAGTCTGGGTGGCATATGGGCCACCGTTCTGGCATTGTCGCACTTCTACTGGCTGTAGCAATTCTGGCACATCACTTCCTATGAGAATACCAATGTCTGCATTGATTTTCTGTACTTCAATTTCATTCAAGTGAGGCCATCGATTAACATCTTCAGAAGTAGCAACTGTATTCATTGAAATTGGTAGAGATTGTATTGAGTAGACGGTTGGCAACGTCACTGAATTTTGATGATCTACGTCGAAGATTTCCAAACTTGCAAGTTCACACTTGACTGGTCGATTGACTCCATTGATTGTTGTTAATGACAAGTTTATCTTGTCGGTCTTTACTCCAAGTTGCTTTAGCAGACTGTTGGTGCAGAAGGTAGTATTCGACCCATTGTCGAGAAAGGCATATGTTTCTACTACTCTGGAACTTCCTGCAGCCTTAACTCGTACCGGTAGTGCAGCAAGTCCAGTAACAGCTGAAGTGTTTCGTGTTGCCGTCATGCTGATTTTATTCACATCTGTGATCTCTTTAGGTGGTTGATGTTTGGGTTCTTTATGGACAATGATGCCAGCACTGTTTGCCTGTTGTTCTTTCGGGTGCAGAAATGTTGAATGTTTGGTCTTGCATCCATCTATTTTACAAAAGCTTTCCTTTGGGCATAATCGTATAAAATGGCCAATGGTTAAACAGTTGTTGCAGATCTTTTTCTCCTTGACAATTTTCCATCTTTCGTTGAGCGTCATTCGTTTGAAAGCCTCGCATCTTGATAACCAATGCTCTTCACCACATAAAGCACACTTAAGTTTCTTATTATCGGATTTAGACGTCGAGCTTCTAGATACCCTCTTTCATCACTCATAGATAAGCAACTTCTCATCAGTTCTTGAACTGTACCCGAAGTGTATTGAATTAGATAATGCAATCTTGCACTTTGATTAGTCGTTTTATTTTCGACTAAATATCGGAATGCTGTGACAAACTCACAGTAATCGGCTAGTTTACCACTGTAAACCTTCATCGATGGGTTTGGTAGTGTGAGAGCTGTCACACTACTTTGTTGTTGCTGTACAATTTTTAGCAGAGCATTACTTTGTCGATCCTGAGCTTCCATCATCTTTGATGCTAATAGCTCCATTGCATTCTGTTGCGTTGATGGTTGCGTTCTCCATTGTGGAGCATCTAGGTCGAAGGGTTGAATTATTTGAGCTGGTGGTTTCTCGGCTGGCCGCCAAAACATTGGATTGCTACTGCTGGTGAGTTCTGGTTCTCTTTCAATAGCATATGGAACTGACTGATGTGGAGTCTCATATGAGTTTCCGACTAGTTGAGGAAGGTTTAGATCTTGCATTTGCTGATTTGTTTCTGAACCTTCTTCTTCTTCGTATATTTGCCTCGCTGCTTCCGCAGCATCGATTTCCATTTGTAGTTCCATGTCAGCCTTCTTTTGCTGTATCATCAATTCCTGCATTTGTAAATCATGGAGTTCCTTTAATTGATTAGCCTTTGCCTTTAGTGCAGCCTCCTTAGCTCTAGCCTTTACTGCTTGATGAGCGCCGGGAACTAACACAACTAACAGAATCGTCTGGCCCTACATCGGCCATGGTTGAAGTCGCAGAAGATGTAACCTTGCACCCTGTGCGTTACTATTTTCGGTTCTGGTGGAGGTAGAAATGAATCAAACGCGTAGACAACGTAGAGTTAACATAAATGGTACATGCTTTATTCTTGCACGGTGTACATCTACTGTGTCATATGATGTCACAATGTCACGATATCACGTGTTACACGTTGATGCGCTACGTTTACGTCTACGACTACGGTTTAAACTGTAATGCAATACAAATAAATGATCATAATAATATGAATAATAAAAGAAATAATACTATCAATAATGATAGATAATGTTAATACAGTATTAACAACAATAGAATAAAACGATAATAACTATAATACAGTAGCAATATACTGTAATACTAATAAAGGAACATAGCTAAGATTATCTAAGCAACACTATAAACAATACCTATGAATGAGAGCAAATGGCCTTGGCAACCTTCAATTTTAGATGTTTAGTCTAATTACCAAATGCCTTATACTGAGTAGGTAGGCCGATATTAATTAAGTTTACTTACAAATAGTAAATATTCTATGGCATATAAACATTTAACATAACAAATTAACGATAAATAGTAGTTCACGTAGTTAGTTGAACTCACTACAGAAAACCTTAATGGTTACTGTTCCATATGTATTTAATATGTTACCATATTCTACTAAACTTAAATCAATTATCATAGTCTCCAGAACCTGTTGCATTGAATCCATGAACTGAACTGATACACTGTTTTAATGACTATTCCTAAACAAGATAAGAAAGTCTGTTGCTAAGTGAGAATGGCAAAGCTTGAATGCATAGTTGGAAGATAGCTAAGTTCACTGTCTGTAATCTAGAATTACAATCACCACAAACTTGTGGTCTGCATAGAGTATCTGTGGTCTATGCTTTAACATAGGCCTATTCTACAAACAGGGGCAGTTAATACATATACCAAAACAAAAACTGCTACACTGCATTAACTTGGAAACCTGAAGGGAAAAGAAGAGTTGGTCGCCCTAAAACAACGTGGCGGAGGACTGTTGAAAAGGAAAGAGAGTGTCTTGGATGGAAATCATGGAATGAAGCCAGACATTTGAAGGGCGGGTTGGAAAGAGTGTACTTCAGCCTTATGGGCCATTCGGCCTGAAGAGGATAGGTAAGGTAGGTAAGGGCCTACTATTGTGTTCATAAGTTTTTGTCTTTCAATGATCTGTAGGTCTATGGTTTATTTTATGACTATTCCCTCAGCTCTTGTATGTTGTCTTCCCTTCCTTTCTTTCCTTCTATTTTTCAAATGCCAATCCTGAAATGAAAGAAAGCAGAACTATTTTATGATTATTGTCTAAAAAAAACTATCTAACTATTGCTCATGCTGATTTATAAGGATGATAATCTAATCTACACTTCTATAATATGATCAATGTCAGGACTGACTATTAAAATGACATATAATTTACTTATTTACAGTACAAAAGATGAGTATTGATAACCAATACTAGGAAAAATAATTAGACATATAAAAATGAAAATTTATAGTCAAACTAATAGATAATAATATTAAGTATCAGTGTTAAAGATAAGTTAAATAAAATACTTAAATAAAATGAATGATTTTAAAAATTATATTACAGTATATAAAATATAACCTATGATATATAATATTTATATGATAACCCATCTTACCGATTACATAATCTCTTCAGTGGAAATATGTCCCTTTCCAGAAAAGTATAATTATTAATTTATTACTATTAGTATTAGTATGATTTTATTTTGCACATAAAAATATTATTGATAAAATAAATAATAAACAGAAATGTAATAGGTCTATATATTACAGTATAACAGTATAACATTAATAATTGAATTCCCAAAATCAATAAAATTTTAAACCATAGTTTAATGTATTTTTCATCCAGAAAAATTAGGAATTCAATTTTGTTGTATTCGTCGTATTATTAACATATACACTATCCTTACTTTACAGATAAATAAGGCTTTTATGTCAGTTTACCAGAGAAATTTTAAGTTTGTTAAACTTAGAATTAGGCAATTCACATAATAAAACCATGTTTTTTGCCTTTCCAGCAGTTTTCTTTTATTGCTTAGTATTATGTAAACATACAATATAAAATGTGTTCCGTCGAACTCGGCCGAAACGATCCTTCACCAGCCGAATTTCCCACCAGCTATTGCCTAGACCAGGCCCAGCACGTAATGAACGGGTTTCTTCTCTCGAGATTAAGCCCATTGGGCTTCTATTCGAGGTTTTAACGGTAATTGTATTGTTTTGCGAAATGGAATAGTCCTATAGAGTCTGGCTGGACTACTACCGTGACGTTACACGTTGTTTTAAACTTTCCTTTGGTCTCGTCGCTTCTGAGAGCTAGGCCTATCCTTCTCTGTTTACTTGGTTTACACAACAGTGCGTTCATCACAACATGAATCAAAGTTTAAATTAACAAGAAACGCGGGGTGTTTAAATTCTGTGCGATTTTTTGGCTGCAAAACTTCTTTTTCATTAGCGTGTGTATTTGGTCTTTACGGGTTTAATCTTTTTGTTGTACTACTACTACTAGAAGAAAGAGGAGAAGTAGGCCCTAGGCCTACTGTACTATTACTACTAGGCCTAATACCACCGGTACTAGGCCTCGTTGCACGAGTAGGGAGAGACCGAGGTTTGTTAAAATGCTGCATTTCTTCTTCCGTGTATTCTTTGCGTCGATGTGTTGTTTATCGTCATCAGTGTCAGTTGATTCTGAATTTAGTCAGAAGGGAGCATTTTATGCAGACGAATCTTCAATTACGAATGCATTTGGCCTAGGCCTAGACGTTGTAGTGTTTGATGAATCTTCCGTGTCAAGCAACACAGACTCATTTCTGGATGATAGCTTTGATCAAAATGTGTTCGATAAAGTTACATTTACGAGTGACCTGGAGGAAATTCCCAGTGCCAGTGGGGATCGTGAACTTTTTTCATCTTCATTATTTAATCAAAACGAACGTAAGTCAACAACAGTTCCTTTTTTAATTTTGGAAGCCTTTCATTTCAAAATATAGTCTGAATCTGATGCAATATTAATCTGTATTACGGGCTGGCAGCAGTTGTGGGGGGTGAGGGGGACTTACAGGGGTGGGGGCAGCCACCCCTGTTGGGGAGAAAACCCAGAATTTGTTGAGAAAAAAAAAATGTATTTTCTACATATTTATTAATAGACTGTCACTCTAAAATTGATTAAATTTTTTGAAACCACATAGACAGGGGTGGTGCTAGTGGGGGTTTAGGGGTAAAGTACCCCCCATCGGTGACCTCTGGACCCCCGCTTGGGACCCCTGTCGGGGAATTTCCCATGAGGTCGTCAGGGAAAAATCAAATCTTGAGCACGAAAAGTACAATTTAAGTATGCCTTCTAAGCTGTCAAATTTTAGTGATAAAAAAACTGTTTAGCGTGAGCAGTGCTACCGTACGTGCCAGGTATTGTATACTATTATGATCGTATGGGTTGCAGTGTTGGCGCCAGCGCTTCCCCGACTGGGGCTGGTACCTCCGACAAAATAATTTTTTAATACAAAATTCCCTGACAAATTAAATTTCTTCTCTGATGGGGATGGGGGGAGGGTGTGGGCTAGACTTCCCCAATGGGGGGGTGTTGACCACTTTGTCGGGGAGGTTGGACCCCTCGTCTGGAAATTCTTCCTTGGTGGTGCCCCTGAACAGAGCTCTTGCTACAAGTTGCGTCACCAACCTTAGCTAGTACTATCGATTACCATTGAAAACACTGACTGATGGATTCGATACTTGTACGGCCTGGAATGTCTGTGTGTTCTCAACAAAATACATACTGAAACACAAAGATATCTCATTTTTTGTGCTGACGTCCAATAAGCTTTTTTCTACTTGTAATTTGAATTAAAATATATTGATTTCAGCTTACCATTAGGGAGTTGTTTGTACATCACAAAAGTTACATGAAGTCGTATTACTCAGTGTTTATAGAGATTCCCCCCCAGGTAGGGGAAATCCACTCCAAAACACGTGTTGGTAATTTCATGCTTTGCAATATTTACAGTGTGAGCCTTCCTCCAGTCCAAGCATTTAGGCATTTCTAGTTCAGGCTGATGGAATCAATTTCAAGGTCAGTGCCATCCATTGATAATTGGTGGGAGATTCTTATCATATTTCCCGAGTAATGATGAGTTGTTCAGTCTTCTTTGAGTTGACTGCTACAAGGATGGGTTACTCTCTGGTTGTGGTTGAGAAGCGTAGCGGAGTTTATAATTTGGTTTATTTAAAAGCAAAACGCAATAATACTTGGCAAATGAACTTTCTTCAGTGATCAGAACATATCAATTTGTTAGGTGCACTTTACTGCGAACTCAGCGACAAGAAAATCTCTTTAACATAGCGCTCATTTAAAAACATTCTCTTTTTACTACAAAAACTGTAACTCAATAAACTGGAGGTAAATTAGTTGAAACGGTTTATATAAATAAAGCTATTGTAAACAATTTACAAAATATTTTTATCAAATATTTCTCCCCGTCATTTTTGGGTTGAATTACGAAAATATAGTCGATATTATTACTGTGTTTTCAGCAGGATTTGAGCTGGCTTACTGTATGAGAAGTCGTTTCTTTATATCATAACTTTGCCTTCACTAATCCGATCGCTTAAGTTGAAGCGGGAACTTGTGATAAGTTATACAGTATAGAATTAATTTAATTGAATAAAATTTTCTTCCGTCATTATCACATGCTTTCAAGAAGAAAAACTGCCTGGTCCCACAGCCAGCCTAGGGAATTAGCGCATTTCATTTTCTGAACTGAAGAAATACTGTACCGTACCAAGCGAATAAGCATCCTGTTTGAATAAGTGCCTCTTTTGAATAAGCGCACCTCGATTCCTTAAAAAATTCAATCATACAGTACAGTACATCACCAACTTAATTTTCTGCATCAACTATTAGCATAGAATTATCGGTCGGTCAGTCCATCTATCCATCTCCCTGTCTCACATGGTTTTCAGTTTTAGGCCATAGGGTGAAGCTCAAAAGACGTCTAGAAAACCGATTCCGTTCCGATGGCTGTAATATGAAAAATTTAGGCCTACAGTAGTTTAGTAATGTAATGAGTTCGACTAAAAAATCCTCTGCAATTTTGAGAAAATTACCGTTTTATCACTTTCCTAGGCCACCGACCGTCAGAAAACACACCGCGAATGAGCGGGGTTGAAGCACCTCGCGATTATACCATGAACCGTCCACTTGCATCAACTCTGATGAAATTGTATCATTTCAGGTCATATCGTGTCAACGTACAGCATATATCTCTTGCGCTAAACTGTCAAGCCACGACCAGATCTAGGCCTAGGCCTGAGCTAACCTGTTCTTTACTACTGTACAACTAGTGGTTGCTTGAATCAAAATTCGTATTCATTACCTTACGGTATATTGGACAATAATTAAAAACAGGCTTAGGTCAACCCATCGCTTTGAAACCGGTACATAGCTAGACATTTTCGGCTCCTTTACGGTTTTAGGCCAACCATAAACGAAATATTTTTCTCTTTTTTTCTTCTCGAAGTTTACTTCGAGTGTATTACATAGAGGGCGCTTGGTTGGACATTTTTCATAGCCACAGTATGGTTTTGCTCGACCTGCCGGTGCGTGATCGTTTGGATTGGATACACATTATTATTTTATGTTTAGAAGTCAAATAAATCTTTCCTTAAACTGATTTATTTTTGTTAAATTTATTTCAATATACACTTGGTTAGTATTACTTTGATCATTATTTTGAATAATTTAAAAAAAAAAAAAAATAAATAAATCCGGCCGACCGACTGACCTTTGATCTTGATTTTTTCCATTTAAGGCCAACACAACAATTATTTTTTTTTGGCCTTGTCTGGAAGCCATTTTGAATCTATTTGAGTCAACACATTTTTGTCCAAAGTTGGAACAAAGATGGATTCTTCAATCAGCCAATGTTTGGAGTGGCAACCAGTTGATGGATTCTTTATATGATTTGAAGTTGGCCCTCTTTTGCATGCACTGATGTTTGATTTTTGTTAATAATGCTACCATGCCAAGCAGTACTGCATATTCCGATATATGGCAAACATAACCTACATATACAGAGACCAAGCTTATCACCAATGACTTTTATTATTCAATTCACTCCTGATGCCATATGAAAACAATTACCATTTATAAGACTTTTTGTGATAATCTAAATTGAATGTGTGCCATTAAAAAAATGATTCATAGCCTCTCAAAAAATTAAATTGATCCAAAATTAGAGTCCAGTTTCTCTGTGTGAACCTCCACAATCCATACCAAATATAACATGTTATTCTACAGTATTTATGCTACATCCATCCAATAGAAAGTTCAATACAAAAAAAAGAATTTGGTCATTAACATTACATCATGAAATAATATGGGGAATGTATAAAATTATTTTATAAATTACATTTATGCTAATTACATATTAGACCTATTTAAATTTAATTGTATTTGCATTGAAAATTATCAATTGCTACTATATAAAATTAGTTATTCTATTGTAAGTAAGTGATTTTTATGTCAATAAAAATTAAATTTAGTAATGTATGTCATCCTTATATGAAAACATGCCAGAAACTCCTATTATTAAGGGTAAAAATTTCACGTTTTTGGTTAGTGTCCCCTGGGGACACTTTTTAGGTTCCAATGATCTCCCCTTAATAGGGGTTCTACTGTATATTGATTTCTGATATTTTTGCTAATTATTATTTGTCTCAAATGTCTTATCTTTTTCATTCCTTTGAGTCAATTAATACTCTCAAATAAATGGTATTTAAATTTTGTTCATTCTGATGCACAATGCATTATTGTATTCCAAATTTTCTGAAACCTTGCGCATACTGTGAGTTGGCATAGAATATGTCCCCTAGAACGATGTCATGATGACATCAAGTATCATGTGACATCTTTTAAAGGTGATGGATTTTTCAAAGATTGATATCAGGAAAAAAAAATATTACTCTAATCTAGCTGAAGCATACTACTATTAAAGTCAGGATGTGTTAGGTTAGTTTTAATAAACCGGTAGTTAAAAATTGTAAACAATGTACATAACTATGCATTCTGTAATCAGTAAATGAGATGCAATCTTTTAGCAAAATTTTGAAGATGTTGTCATGTTTTAACTTTTTGAGAAAGACTGAAGGTCATGTTTTTTGCTATAAGGATAGAATTGGTAATTTTTTCTAGTGAACAGTAACAAACACCATGAAATACGTACAGGTCTGGAGGGTTATCAGTGGTTCGCTGCAACTTAAAATAAAATAGGGTAAAAATGATTGTGATGGTGATGACAAAAAGAGAAAGAAAAAAGAAGAGAAAAATATAAAGATACCCACTGCTACTACAGTAGGGGAACGGATTCATCACTAGTCACCAAGCACAAGCTCGGTGGTCTCTGGTTAAGACAGGGTAGATACCCTGAGGTCGTGGGTTCGATTCCCACCCGAATCACTTTAAAATTTTTTTTCGCTAGTATTTTGGAACGTACTGAGTATTCGGTACGATAACACGTTAGGTAGGGCAAAACATCACTCCTAGAAAAAAATACTTATTTTTTTTGTGTTTTTTCTATCATAATCTAATTTAAAATAAGAAATGTATTCTGTAGGCATTCCATTACTGAAAGATACCTGGCAATTTCAGAAAGATTTTAATATATTGTTAGTTGCCTTTATTGGTTTTGAGCTGCAGTGGCGGATCAGGTTGTTGGGGGGGGGGGGGGGGGGGTGGTTGTGGAAGAAAGACTATGTTTACTACTCAATATTGTTGGAATATAAATATATTGCCTATGTGTCTTTTGATTTTTTTTCTCTCTTTGTATTAGGCCTATTACCTGACCTTTTTCAAGAAGAGGAAAACCTTGAATTATGAAGAACAAAAAGGTCATTAAAAGGCACCTCAGAAGTTGGAAATGCTCATTTCCGGCCATCTAGAA